TAAGCAACAATAATTTATTTGAAATCCAAATTTAACTAGGTATTATCTATTTTCATTTGCTAAATGTGGCAATCTAAGCTGGACACATGAGCATAGACTGAAGTGCTAACCACGCAAGCTACAGTGAGGGTAACTTTATATGTTTTTATTTTTCAATGTTCTTATCTGTGAAGAAGGTGCTCAGAGAATTTAGGAATAATAAGATAGACCTTATCTCATCCAACGTGTTCTCCTCCCTGCTGTCATTTCTAAAGGACGAAGGGAGCTTGTGAAGCGCTCTACTCAAAATCTGGGGACTTGCTCGTTTTTTGTAAACTATCTATAAGAGAATGCCATCTTCTTAGTTTCTCCCTGTATTAGTCCGTTTTCAGGCTGCTGACAAAGATATACTCAAGACTGGATAATTTATAAGGAAAAAGAACTTTAATGGATTCACAGTTCCACGTGGCTGGGGAGGCCTCACATCACAGCGGAAGATGAAAGGCACGTCTCACACGATGGCAGACAAGAGAAGAATGACGGTCAAGCAAAAGGGTTTTTCCCCTTATAAAACCAGATCTCATAAGACGTATTCACTATCATGAGAACAGCATGGGGAAAGACCTGCCCCCACGACTCGATTATCTCCCCCAGGTCCCACAACACGTGGGAACTGTGGGAGCTACAATTCGAGACAAGATTTGAGTGGTTACACCGCCAAACTATATCACTCCCCTTCAGAGAAGACTTAACTACAGAAATGAGAATTTTGCATCTGTCCAAGGTTGGTAATTTGATGCCTGCTTGTATTGTTGGGAGTAGGAGACTGAAAGTTAGAAAATGAATTAGCTGAGGCAGTGAGTAGTGGACCAGTGACACAGAAATTAAGAATATGATTTGGTGACTGATTGGCAAGGCAAATAAATCAGTAAAACTTGGTTCTGAATGAATTAATTTTGCTGGAAAAATAGCTCTGCACTGGGACCAGATTCCTAAAAATCCTAAGTTTTATGTAGGACCAAGATTTTAAATAGATAAGAATATTGGCAGAGTTTTCAATGTAAATCTCAAATGTTCCAGAATTAATAGCAACTTTTTAACCATAGATTTATCAGATGGTTTACACCAGTGGGTCTTACCCGGGGATAGTTCACCATCCCTCTGTCCCTCCTTGTCCTCTCACAACTCCCTAGGGAACATTTGGCAATGTCTGGAGACATTTATGGTTGTCACACCAGGAGTTTCTTCTGACATGTAACAAGTAGAAGCCAGGGACACTAGTAGACAGCTCCTCTCATTAAGAAAATATTATCTATTCCAAAATGTCAATGATGCCAAGGCTGAGAACACTGGTTTACACTGTGTTTCTTCTATAAACTCTAGAAGACTCACAGTTTTTAAACACATTTATCTCTTAGTTTGGCTCTTCATGGCTTAGTTTTGCTTGTTTCATTACCAAAAAAACAACAGTTGCATAAATTCACTGCTTTCTTGGTGAATCCATTTAATCAATGCAGGTTCAAGATCTTCATTTTCACTTTTCGCATATTATGCATTTTATTTCAAAATGTTCATTGTGTTCTTGATAATTACTATCTCTATTAACTTTCAACAACTGGTCACTATAAGTCATGAATGGTGATGACTGTCACAAATATTTTTCTGTAAAATGCCTCAGATTTCTGCAGTAATTCTACCTTTTATACTATCGATAATGTAAGATGCTTCTATTCATTGTGGTACATATACACCATGGAATACTATGCAGCCATAAAGAGGAATGAGATCATGTCCTTTTCAGGGGGTTGGATGAAGCTGGAAACCATTATCCTCAGCAAATTAACACAGGAACAGGAAACCAAACACCGCATGTTCTCACATATAAATGGGAGCTAAACAATAAGAACATGTGGACACAGTGAGGAGAACAACACTTACTGGGGTCTGTTAGGGGAAGGCAGAGCGGGGGTGACCATTAGGGAAAAGAGCTAATGTATGCTGGGCTTAATACCTAGGTGATGAGTTGATAGGTGCAGCAAACCACCATAACACACGTTTACCTATGTAACAAACCCATACACCCTGCACATGTACTCAGAACTTGAAAAAACAGTAAAATAATTATTTAAAAAATACTGTCTACTCATCTCATTTTTACTAAACACAAAGATTTTTCTTCTTTTTCTGGATAACAAGTTTTATAAACATCACATATCTTCAACATTTTAAATATTCTCAATGGATACATTTCACATAATATAACACAGTTCCACTTTTAAAAAAAATAGCAAAATAAATATAATCTCACTTTTTCTTGATGATTCGGGATCATTATTATCAATGTCAGTTTGGAACACAATAATATCCTGAAGGTCTGGTAATAAATGTAAGGCTGTTTGCCTTTATCCTAAGTGAATTTGGATTGTTTTTATGATTCTCTGCTTTTCATTTTCTCTGCCTCGTCCTTTCACTTACTGACATTTCTTTGTTATTGTAATCAGTGCGTTCTGATGGTTATTTTTCAGAAGTCTTTAGGTGGAGGCCTGTGAATGGTTACATTCTCCTAAAGAGCTAAGTGTATGGGTGCATGGGCTTTGTGACTGTCATTTGCTAGTCAGAGGACCTTTTCTTCCCTCACTATTTCTTTTTTTAGTTATTATTATTTTACTTTAAGTTCTAGGGTACATGTGCACAACATGCAGGTTTGTTACATAGGTATACATGTGCCATGTCAGTTTGCTGCATCCATCAACTCGTCATTTACATTAGGTATTTCTCCTAATGCTATCCCTCCCCCAGGCCTCCACCCTGCAACAGACCCTGGTGTGTGATATTCCCCACCCTGTGTCCATGTGTTCTCGTCGTTCAGCTCCCACCTATGAGTTAGAATGTGTGATGTTTGGTTTTCCATCCTTGTGATAGTTTGCTGAGAATGATGGTTTCCAGCTTCATCCATGTCCCTGCAAAGGACATGAATTCATCCTTTTTTATGGGTGCATAATATTCCATGGTGTATATGTGCCGTATTTTCTTAATCCAGTCTATCACTGATGGACATTTGGATTGGTTCCAAGTCTTTGCTATTGTGAATAGTGCCACAGTAAATATACATGTGCTTGTGTCTTTATAGTAGCATGATTTATAATCCTTTGGGTATATACCCAGTAATGGGATCGCTGGGTGAAATGGTATTTCTCGATCCTTGAGGAATCACCACATTGTCTTCCGCAATAGTTGAACTAATTTACACTCCCACCAACAGTGTAAAAGCATTCCTATTTCTCCACATCTTCTCCAGCATCTGCTGTTTCCTGACGTTTTAATGATCACCATTCTAACTGGCGTGGGATATCTCATTGTGGTTTTGATCTGCATTTCTCTGATGATCTGTGATGATGAGCATTTTCTCATGTGTTTGTTGGCTGCATCAATGTCTTCTTTTGAGAAGTATCTGTTCATATCCTTTGTCCACTTTTTGATGGGGTTGTGTGTGTTTTTTCTTGCAAATATGTTTAAGTTCTTTGTAGATTCTGGATATCAGCCCTTTGTCAGATGGGTAGATTGCAAAGATTTTCTCCCATTCTGTAGGTTGCCTGTTCACTCTGATGGTAGTTTCTTTTGCTGTGCAAAAGCTCTTTAGTTTAATTAGATCCCATTTGTCAATTTTGGCTTTTGTTGCCATTGTTTTTGGTGTTTTGTCATGAAGTCTTCGCCCATGCCTGTGTCCTGAATGGTGTTGCCTAGGCTTTCTTCTAGGGTGATTTTTCTTTAACTGTTTTGATTTTTCACAGTTCATTTAAACATAAATACAAAAAATCAAAAACATACATGCATGGTATTTGAAATCTGTGAAATATGTGTATATTTACACAGGTATATGTATGTTTGCATGTTTATATATATTGAAACTACAGATGCACATGTCACCAGTAAGAGCTCTGTGACACTTTTGACTCCTTACTTCTTCAGATCAGATTTGCCAAATGAGTTTTGGCAACAAATTAAAAACAATAGTGAGTGAATTTCTGAGCTTTCTGGATTTGGAAAATCCAAAAAAGTTTGTGGTTCTGTGTTGGGGTCATGGACTCTTCAATTGTTTCCCATTACATTTAGTATAGATCAAAATTCTAACATGACAAAGATTTTAATTGTTCCCTTCTTGTGATTTCTCCAGTTTAATCTTCTCTTCTCTTCCTTCTCTTCCCTTCTCTTATCTTCTCTTCTTTATCTTCTCTTCTCCTTTTCTCTTTTCTTTTCAGAGAGAGTCTCGCTCTGTCACCCAGACTGGAGTGCAATGGCACAATCTCGGCTCACTGCAACCTCCACCTCCCAGGTTCAAGTTATTCTTCTGCCTCAGCCTCCTGAGTAGCTGGAACTACAGGCACGCGCCACCACCCCCATGCCACCACGCCTGGTTAATTTTTGTATTTTTAGTAGAGACGCGGTTTCACCATATTGGCCAGGCTGGTCTCGAACTCCTGATCTTGTGATCTGCCCGCCTCGGCCTCCCAAAGTGCTGGGATTACAGGTGTGAACCACTGTGCCCCGCCCAGTTTAATCTTTTCCCCTCCTTTCCCTCATGCTGTGCTTTAGTGAACTTTCTTCTGGTTTCTTGAAGAAGTTCATCAGTTCTTTCAAGCTTTTGTAAGTGGTTTTATGCTTACCTGAAAGGTGCCTCCCTTTTTGTCCAGAGACACACAGGCTCCACTCTGCCCCCTGGCTCACACCCACTAAACCTGTAAGGTCACATGTGAATTGTCACTCTCAGAGTCCTTCTCTGAGAGTGATTTAGATCATCCTATTCTTTGTTCTATAACTCCACACTTCTCTTAACATTTCTCATTCCTGTATAAGGTGTTGTGTATTTCGTTTTTTGCCATCACTTTCACTACCCTTTAAGCTCCCCCAGCGGAGGGGAGAGGTCTGTCTCTCCCCTGTTTGGATTCCCAGGAGCACTAAGGGAAGCATTTACAGAATGGAGGAGGTGGGTCTTGTTTAAGGAATGAGTAGAGTGTGGCATGATAAGAGGGAGCAGGAAGTGTCTTTTGGGTGGAGGCTCCCAGGAGGAGGAAGTGCAAGTGACAGTGATGAGGCAGATGATCCTGGTCCAGAGCCTTGCAAAGAGGCGTCCGGCTCAACTCGGCAATCGGGAACGAATCCCGAATGGTATTCCACGGCCCTCGCAGCCTCCCTCCGCCTCAGGCAGATGGGAGATGAACCCCTGGGATGCTGGTGGTCGGGGTTGGCTGGTGGGGGCCAGTCAAGGTGTTCCATCGCCCCGCGCCCTGCCGAGGGCGTCCCTGATTGTGGGCATAGCCGTCACTCTTTTCCCAGGATGCCGCCCATGTAACCGGTTCTTCTTGTCCCCGCAGCACATTTCTTGGAGCAGATTAAACATGAGTGCTGTTTCTCCAACGGGACGGAGCGGATGCGGTTTGTGCAGAGACTCATCCATACCGGGAGGAGTATGCGCGCTTCCACAGCAACGTGGGAAAGTTCCGGGCGGTGGCGGAGCTGGAGTGGAGGAGAGTCCAGGAATGGAAACAGCCAGAAGAACCTCCTGGGCTACTTGCGGGGTCTGTTGGACACCTACTGCAGACACAACTGTGGGGTTTTGCTCACCGCAGAGGCGCGGTGAGCAAGGCGCGTGGGGGAGGGAGAGCAGGGTTCCTGAGAACGGAGAGGGAGGAAGGAGAGAGAGAGAGAGAGAGACAGAGAGAGAGAGAGAGAAAGAGCGCGCGCGAGAGCGAGCGTGTGTGTGCGCGCGCGCACGTAAGCACCCTGTGGGAGAGTATAGGATTGTGAGCAAGAAGGAATTAGGAGGGCTCAGGTAGGTGAGTGTAGAGTGGGGATTTGTCTGTGTGTGTTTTTGGAGGGGACGCAGGACGGAACTTCAGCTTGTCCTTCCAGCCCGCTGTGCAGAGATGAGAGGAGGGTGGGAGTGGTGATGCAGGGGCCTGGAGAGGGAGATCTTGATCGCCCGGAGAGGGAAATTTACCTAGTCTGCTGTTGGCATGAAAGTTTAGGGGAGGAGAGATGAGAAATGATAATGTGAGGGATAATGTAAGGAGGCTAGTCACAAACTGTCCTTAGTACACACCCTTTATGATCCCGAAATCTCTGAAATAAAAGTGTGTGATACTTGTCTGCATAAGCATTTTACTGAGAAAAAGTATTAGACTAATTTCTTTCTTTTTAAGTGTTTATTTTAGTTTTAGGGATATGTGTGCAGGTTTGTTCTATAGGTAAACTGCATGTCAGGTGGGTTTGATGTACAGATAATGTCATCACCAGGGTGATAAGCATAGTACCTCCCAGGTATTTTTCCTGATCCTCTCCCTCCTCCCATCCTTCACCCGCAAGTAGGTCCCCGTGTCTACTGTTCCCTTCTTTGTATCCACGTGTTCTCAATGTTTAGCTCCCACTTATAAAGTGAGAGCATGTGGTATTTGGTCTGTTGTCCCTATGTTAGTTTGTGTAAGATAATGGCCTCCAGCTCCATCCACGTTCCTGCAAAGGACGTGATCTCATTCTTTTTGTGGCTCCATACTATTCTATGGTGTATTTGTACCACATTTCCTTTAACCAGTCGACTGCTGATGGGCATCTAGGTTGATTCAGTGTCTTTGCTATTGTGAACAGTGCTACAGTGAACATATGTGTGCATGTGTCTTTCTGGTAGAATGGTTTATATTCCTTTAGGTATATACACAGTAATGGGATTGCTGAGTCAAATGGTAATTCTCTTTTTAGTTCTTTGCACCACATTGCTTTCCACAATGGCTGAGCTAATTTACATTCCTACTAGCAGTGTATAAGCATTCTCTTTCCTCTGCAACCTCACCGACATCTGTTATTTTTTGACTTTTTAGTAATAGCCATTCACACTGATGTGAGATGTCATCTCATTTTGATTTTGATTTGCATATCTCTAATAATTAGTGCTGTTGAGAATTTTTTCCTGTGTTTGTTGGCTGCATGTATGTCTTCTTTTGAAAAGTATCTGCTCATGTCTGTTCATGCCCATATTTTAATGAGGTTGTTTGTTTGTTTGTTTCTTGTAAATTTGTTTAAGTTGCTTATAGATTCTGGATATTAGACCTTTGTCAGATGCATAGTCTGCAAATATTTGCAATAACTATCAGGGCCAGTGGTGCCAAAGTAAAAGAATTTACCAAGACAGTTGTAGGTATAAAAAAGCAGATTTACTAGAGAAAGTAGAAAAATACATTGCAAGGAGGCAACAGGCAGGCCAGTAGAAGAGAAGATGACTGCACAGAAACAAAGGCTTGCAGGAGATTTTATAGGATGGTTCTTAGGCTGCAGAGTGCTACATGCAGTAGCAATAATGCCAAGGTTGCAGCGAGCTAGCTTACAGATGTTTGATGATAATTGAGTACAGGAAGACTGAATTATTTGCACAGGAGGGCTGTGTGTCCTGGACCATGAAGAAAGACAGACTTATAGCTTATTTGCTTTATCTCTTTGCTTTCTTCTGGTCCCACCAGCCTGACTTCTGTTCCCAAATTAGGACTTGACATTTTCTCCATTCTCTAGGTTGTCTGTTTATTCTGTTGATAGTTTCTTTTACTGCACAGAAGCTCTTAAGTTAAATTAGGTCCCATTTGTCAATTTTTGTTTTTGTTGTGGTTGCTTTTTGTGTCTTTGCCATGAAATCTTTGCCAAGTCCTACATTCAGAATGGTATATTCTAGGTTACTTTCCAGGGTTTTTATGATTTTAGGTTTTACATTTAAGTCATTAATTCATTTTAAGTTGATTTTTGTATATGGTGTAAGGTAGGGGTCCGGCTTCAGTCTTCTGCATATGGCTAGTCAGTCACTACAGCACTATTTATTGAATGAGGAGTCCTTTCCTCATTTGCTTGTTTTTGTCATCTTTGTCAAAGATCTGATGGTTGTAGGTGTGCAGCATTATTTCTGGACTCTCTATTCTGTTCCATTTGTCTATGTGTCTGCTTTTGTACCAGTACCATGCTGTTTTGGTTACTGTGGCCTTGTAGTATAGTTTGAAGTTAAGTAACATAGTACCTCCTACTTTATTCTTTTGCTTAGGATTGCCTTAGCTATTCAGGCTCTGTTTGGCTTCCATATGAATTTTAAAGTAGTTTGTTCTAGTTCTGTAAAGACTTGTCAGTGGTAGTCTAATGGGAATAGCGTTGAATCTATAAATTACTTTGAGCAGTATGGACATTTTAATGATACTGATTCTTCCTATCCATAAGCATGATAATTTTTTCCATTTGTTTGTGTCATCTCTGATTTCTCTGTGCAGTGTTTTGTAGTTCTCCTTGTAGAGCTCTTTCGCCTCCGTAGTTAGCTGTATTCTTAGGTAATACGTGTGTGTGTGGAAATTGGGAGCGGGATTATGTTCCTGATATGGGTCTTGGCTTGGGTGTTCTTTGTGTATAGGAATGCTGCTGATTTTTATATGTTGATTCTATTTTTTTTTAACCTGAAACTTTGCTGAAGTTGTTTATCAGCTAAAGGAACTTTTGGGCCAAAATTTGGAGATTTGGGGTTTTCTACACACGGGATCATATCATCTGCAAACAGGGATAGTTTGACTTCCTCTCTTCCTCTTTGAATGCCCTTTATTTCTTTCTCTGGCCTAATTGCTCTGGTCAGGACTTCCAATACTATCTTGAATAAGAGTGGTGAGAGAGGGCCAGGCACAGTGGCTTATGCCTGTAATCCCAGCACTTTAGGAGGCTGAGGCGGGCAGATCACAAGGTGAGGCTATCAAGACCATCCTGGCTAACGTGATGAAACCCAGTCTCTACTAAAAATTAAAAAAAAAAAAAACTAGCCAGGCGTAGTGGCACGTGCCTGTAGTCCCAGCTACTTGGGAGGCTGAGGCAGGAGAATCACTTGAACCTGGGAGGCAGAGGTTGCAGTGAGCTGAGATTGTGCCACTGCACTCCAGCCTGGCGACAGAACGAGACTCCGTCTCCAAAAAAAAAAAAAAACAGTGGTGAGAGAGGACATCCTTGTCTTGTGCTGGTTTTCAAGAGCAATGCACCCAGCTTTTGCCCATTCACTATGTTTGTTTGTCATTGATGGCTTTTATTATTTGAATTATGTTCCTCCAGTGCCTAGTTTACTGAGTTTTGTTTGTTTTTTTTTTTGAGATGGAGTCTCTCTCTGTCATCAGGCTAGAATGCAGTGGTGCGATTTCAGCTCACTGCAACCTCCGCCTCCCGGGTTCAAGTGATTCTCCTGCATCAGCCTCCTGAGTAGCTGCGACTACAGGCTCGTGCCACTGTGCCTGGCTAAGTTTTCATTTTTAGTAGAGATGGGGTTTCACCATGTTGACCAGGATGGTCTCAATCTCCTGACCTTGTGATCCACCCGCCTCAGCCTCCCAAAGTGCTGGGATTACAGGCGTGAACTTAGCATTTTTAACATGAAGTGCTGTTGAATTTTATCAAAAGCCTTTTCTGCATGATCATGTGGCTTTTGTCTTTCATTCTGCTTTATGTGATGAATCACATTTGTTGATTTGTATATGTTGAACTAACCTTGCATCCCAGGAATAAAGTCTATTTCATCGTGGTACATTAGCTTTTGATGTGCTGCTGTATTTGGTTTGTTATTATTTTGTTAAGGATGTTTGCATCTGTGTTCATCAAGAATATTGACCTGAAGTTTTCTTTTTTTGTTGTGTCTCTGACAGATTTTAGTATCAGGATGATGCTGGCCTCACAGAATGAGTTGGGGAGTCATCCTTTCTCCTCAATTTTTTTGGAATAATTTTAATAGGAATACTAACAGCTCTTCTTTATACATCTGGTAGAATTCAGCTGTGAATCCATCTGGTCCCGGGCTTTTTTTGGTTGGTAGCTTCTTATTACTGACTCAATTTCAGAACTCATTATTGGTCTGTTTAGAAATTCAGTTTCTTCCTGGTTCAGTGTTGAGAGGTGTATGTGTCCAGGAATTTATCCATTTCTTCTAGATTTTCTAGTTTGTGTGCAAAGGTGTTTATGATTTCTAGGGGAAGCGAAGGGACCTCTGTAGCACCTCTGACCTTTCTGAGGCTTCTTTTAGGTCTAAAGTTCTTGCTATGTTTTTGTTTTCTTAGTATATACATATATTTCCATAGTTGAAATTATTGTGAAACTAGCTTTTGAATTAAACTTTTGTTATACTGTTAACAGAACCTATGTACAAACACAAAGCATATGTACATAGTAACATGTTACTATATATGTTACCATGTGTATAGTATACACATATGTTACTAAGTATATAGTATATATCGTATACATACATATGCTGTGCCTGTGTGTGTATACACACCCATATGTAACTTGTGCATACATTTTTAGAGACAGAGTCCTGCTCTGTCATCCAGGCTGGAGTACAATGGTGCAATCATAGTTCATTGCAGCCTCAACCTCCTGGCCCCAAGTAATCCTCCCCCTTCAACCCCTCAAAGCACTGGAATTACAGGCCTGTGCCACCATGGCTGTTACAATTTTTATTTTAAAACTAATAGTATTTAAGTAGCTACATATTATTCCTTTATACAGTTGTAATATAATTTACCTCACATTTGCCTTGATTAATCTTTTTTACAATATGGCCAAATAGTTGAAAAGTTACATCTCTTTTTAATTTTTAGTTAATATTTATTTGATTTCTATTATTGTTCCAAGAATTATTTATTGTATATTTAAAGGAAAGATAAGTATCTCTTTTCTGTTACCTCTGGGATCCTAGTATTTTTTTTCAGGGATTTTATGGGTTATCTGTACAGTAAGATTATTAACACTTTTGTGGTATTTGATTCAGCATTTTCTTTTTTTGAGACAGAGTCTCACTCTGTCGCCCAGGCTGGAGTGCAGTGGCACAGTCTCGGCTCACTGCAAGCTCCGCCTCCCGGGTTCACGCCATTCTCCTGCCTCAGCCTCTCAAGTAGCTGGGACTACAGGCACCCACCACCATGTCCGGCTAATTTTTTTCATTTTTAGTGGAGACGGGGTTTCACCGTGTTCACCAGGATGGTTTCAATCTCCTGACCTCGTGATTTGCCTGCCTTGGCCTCCCAAAGTGCTGGGATTACAGGCGTGAGCCACTGCACCCGGCCTGATTCAGCATTTTCTCCAGATTGTAGTTTATATTTTTTATTTTCAAAATTATTCTCCATGTTACAAACTTGAACATTTTTATTTAATGAAATATATTGCAAAATGTTTGGTAATGATTTACCACCCATCTTACATCTATCATTTTGTAGTATTATAAAAATATTGTCTCAGGGCCGGGCACGGTGGCTCACGCCTGTAATCCCAACACTTTGGGAGGCAGAGGAGGGCGGATCACCTGAGCTCAGGAGTTCGAGACCAGCCCGGCCAACATGGTGAAAATCCGTCTCTACTAAAAATATAAAAATTAACCAGGCATGGTGGTGGGAGTCTGTAGTCCCAGCTACTCAGGAGGCTGAAGCAGGAGAATTGCTTGAACTTAGCAGGCTAAGGTTGCAGTGAGCCAAGATCGTGCCACCACACTCCAGCCTGGGCGACAAGTGCAAAACTCCGTCTCAGAAAAGAATAAAAAAAGTTGTCTCCGGTTTCTCCTTTTTTCTTTTAAAATAATTGTACTTACTGAGAGGATGCTAGTGTCAAGAATTGTCTAGGCATTAAACACACTGTCCCAGACCCTTCCCTGGCCTCAAATATCAGTCTAGAAAGAGAGGCAGTTAGAAAATTATAGTTCTAACATTGTTATTCTCGTTTTACAGAGGAGATAGATTGATTGGCTGAAGGTAAATATGAGAACTTTTCTTACCCCTTTCTCTCTCCTGTATGACTCATATTTTTCTAGGGACTCAACCCATAGAGGTAGAGAATCACTTCTGTCTGTTCCTCCTTCCCAGTGGCAGAACCATTTCTGCATTGTTCTAAGGTGTGAGTGCATGGAGCCAGCACAGTTAAAATTTCATGCTCCATCTCCCCATCTACCCAACAGCTGTCCCCCAGTCCATACATACCACTCTGAATCATATTATTCTCTCAGGGTAAACAGGATAAAAAATAGCTAACAAAACTTGAGGGCTACATTCAGTCATCGTCTTATGTATTTTTATGTGAATCCTCACATAACCCCAATAGGGAAATTAGTATTATTAACTTTCATGATAGGTGAGAAAGCTGAGGCATGGAGGAATTGAAAATCTCTTTCAGGACCAATCCGTAAGAGGCAGAGCCTGGATTTGAGCTAGACAGCCCGGCTCCAGAAATGAAACATTTGGTAAACACACTATATGCTTTCAAGGATTTCTGAACACTTTGATAATTAATAACAGTTTCAAACTATGAAAAAAGCAAACACAATTTTCTTCATCATTACTCAAATCTAATGGGTCTGCCCTGTAAAGATTAAATTCCAGGCTCTCAACACTGTGAGACCACATGGCCTGCTTTGATGGAGGCCTGGCTGAGACCTGAGCCTGGGTTTGGAGAGAGGCAGAGAGAAAGGCAACCAAGAAGACTTACTCTGTCTCCCTTACATATTCTTTGTGTTTTTTCTTAGTCCATCCTGAGGTGACTGTGTATCCTGCAGAGACCCAGTCCCTGCAGCACCACACCCTGCTGGTCTGCTCTGCGAGTGGTTTCTATCCAGACAGCATTAAAGTCAGGTGGTTCCAGAACGGCCAGAAAGAGAAGGCTGCGGTGGTCTCCACAGGCCTGATCCAGAATGGAGACTAGAACTTCCAGACCCTGGTGATGCTGGAAACAGTTCTTCAGAGTGGAGAGGTTTACACCTGCCAAGTGGAGCACCCAAGCGTGACGAGCCCTCCCACAGTGCAATGGAGTGAGAAGCTTCTAGACCTCATAAATTTCTCACCCACCAGGAAGGGGACATTGATTATCCTTGACTATCAGGTTTCTCCTCTCTCATATCATATTTTCAATTGCTCCATGTTCTTCTGTCTTCAACACAGGTCACTGGGGATAGTCCTAGGAGAGTTTCTAGGAATACCTGTACCCCCTGGAGAAGCAGCCATGCCTAGAAGATAGAAAAGAGGCTGTTCCTGTTTTGAACCTCCTCAAGTCACAGGTCCTGGTCATGCCTTAGCCCTGGGCACCAGACTTTGCCTCTGGGGCTGGGACTGTGCTTCTGGCACTGTTGCTCTGAGTTGTTTGTTACCATCTGAGAAGAGGAGCAACATAGGGCCTTCCTGACATGAGGAGAGTCCAGTCTCAGCTCTGCCGCTTATTTATGTATTTTAGGTACATTAATCCTCACAGAACCCCAGTTTGGAAATTAGTATTATTAACTTCCATTATAGGTGAGAAAGTTGAGGTATGGAAGAATTGAAAATCTCTTTCAGGACCAATCAGTAAGAGGCAGAGCCTGGATTTGAGCTAGACAGTCTGGCTCCAGAAATGAAACATTTAGTAAATACACTAAAACAAGCTACTCAACTTCATTGAGTCCCAGGGATTTTCTAGATCAGATGTTGAAGCTGTGCCTTATGTTGGGTTGTGATATTTGAACTCAAGAATGAGTTCAATTCCTGAGCATTTTAGCTATTCAATGTGATTTTTAAATCTTTTTTCCAGTTATTCCAGGTATTTTGGCCAGTTATTTTGGTTCCTCCAGGGTAGCTTTCATCTCCCATTGTCAAAACTCTGAATCTCCGAGTTTCAATTAGATAAGTTGGATTAGGGTTAAAAATCACTAAATCTGGCTTCTTCTCTCAGGAGCACATTCTGAACCTGCACAGAGCAAGATGCTGAGTGGAGTCGGGGGCTTGTGCTGGGCCTGCTCTTCCTTGGGGCCGGGTTGTTCCTCTACTTCAGGAATCAGAAAGGTGAGGAGCCTTTGGTAGCTGGCTCTCTCCATAGGCTTTTCTGGAGGAAGAAATATGGCTTTGCTGAGATTAGTTCCCAGTGTGTCAGTGGCCTGGTATTAAGCCTTTCCTTCCCCAGTTGACCTCAAATTTCCTGGAAATCTAGAAATCAACAGTCCATCATTACTGTGCCACAGCATGAGTGCTTGAGTCCTGCAGAGATAAGAGAAAGGTTGACGAGCATGGGGATCTTGGTTTGAAATTCTGGAGCAAATGAGGGAAGAGACACTAAGGCTAATGCAATTATACTCTGTGTGTGTGTATGTGTGTGTATGTGTGTGTGTGCGTGCGTGCGTGTGTGTGTGTGCACGCGTGTGTGTGTGTGTATGTGTGTGTGTGTGAGATATGAAAGCTTCATGGGTCACACCGTCTCAGTTTCTGTGTGTGTGCGTGCGTGTGTGTGCGTGTGTGTGCGTGCGTGTGCGTGCATGTGTGTGTGTGAGATGAAAGCTTCATGGGTCACACCGTCTCAGTTTCTGCTCTCTTCTCTGCCCTGGCCGGTGTGGGTTGTAGTGTTTGAGAGATTTCAGGAGACAGATCTGGAGCTTGGAACATTGTTTTTGGGGAAAGACTTCCTTCCATATCTTTTAAGTATATATCTTTCCCTCTTTTTCCAGGACACTCTGGACTTCAGCCAACAGGTAATGACCTTTAATCCTCTTTTAGAGACAGATTTGGCTTCCCTAGAAAGATGGCAGAGATGACAAGACATGAGTCAAAAATAATGAGAAACACTTTGGATCCAAAGTATAAATAAACCTACTCATGTAGTTTATACTAGAGCTTCTTCTCTCCGCTTAGTAAAAGGTCTGTGCTCTAAAGTAACAGTGGCTCAGGGAAACTTAGAAGTATTTTTGTTTCTTCTTCTTGCTCTCTTATGAGGTCCTAAAAGAAGGGAGAAGAAGCTTTTTGGTAGAAGAGTGTTGAAAACAACACTGTCTTTTGTATTCTGCAGGCCCCTGAACTGAAGGTGATACTCAGAAAGAACCTTTAAACCTAGCTCGGAAGCATGAAAAGATTGCGTGCCTGGCCTCCTGTTCTTCCACGAAAGGAAAGCTTTCTCAGGACCGGGTCTGCTCCTGCTTCAATGACCTTGCAGAAAATGTCCTGCCTGGTGGCTTTCTCAGCCCTGCCCTTGGCTTGGAAGTCCCGGTATTGATGGCAATACCCCGTCTTCATTCTTTCCTGGTCCCCTTGGTACCCAGCCTTACTGCCTCCCATAAATCTGAAATTACCTTGTATGTAATGTTATTAAATTTTTCTGGAATAAACATGGAGTGAAAAATTATCTGCTTCAATAACTACAAGGACAAGAAATAGAATAAAAAGAAAAATGCAAGATGACATCCCAATACAATAATGGTTTTCTCTTATAAATGGTAACTCTGTGGGTTCACAGATCTATTAAATAGTTTGATTTAGTCATTCTACATTGTAGGCATACATCAAAACATTATGCTGTACACCACAAATACACTATGTAATTTTGACTTGTCAATATTAAAAAAAAAAAAAATGTGGCCAGGCACAGTGGCTCATGCCTGTAATCCCAGCACTTTGGGAGGCCGAGGCGGGCAATCCCAGCTACTCAGGAGGCTGAGGTAGAAGAATTGCTTGAACCTGGGAGGCAGAGGTTGCAGTGAGCTGAGATCGTGCCATTGCACTCCAGCCTGGGTGACAGAGCGAAACTCTCTCAAAAAGAAAGTCAGTTCTCCCCAATTTGATATCCAGGTTTAACATAATTTCTCTCTAAATTCAAAATCAAAGATCTTTACCCTAAAACATTGTGTATCTATAATTTTAAACCAGTGCATAGTTCTAATTGCATGGAGTTTGGCAATATACTATTATAAGGGAGTTGTATAGATTTCCCAGAAGACAAGTGAACTGGTTAAGAAGATGGAAGGCTCTGTTATCGTATTCTGTCTGAAGAGCAAAAAGTAGATAATTCAGAAGCTTATTTCAAAATAGAAATCATTTGAACACAATTTATCATGTGTCAGAGACAGCTATTATTTTAATATCTACCAAATTCAAAGTTTATTTTATTCATATTTTATTTTTAAATACATGTTACTTGTGCAAAGCAGCTTATCCTATAGAAATTGAATAAGCTGCTAGTCATGTCTGTTCTGTTTGATCCCACAGTTGCAACTTTACTCTTGCTTTATTCCCTGAGATGAAGATAAGATTTATCTCACTTTATGGGAAACTTGTGGTGTGAAATTATAAGGTGGAATTAAATTGTATGGAATGAACATTTCCATGAAAATGCTTTCTGCTACTAGTAACAGAAAATCCAATCTAATTAGCTTTTTCTTTAACTCATTATCTCACATAGCAGATGGATCTAAGGCAGGGCATCTTCAGGGTTGCTCAAGGAAGCAGGCCAGTAGCATCACCAGCGATCCTCGAACTTCATAGCTCATCTCTTTACAGCACGTCAGCTTTCCTGAGATGGTAGGAGGACACCTGTAGCAGTTTTAGGTTTTGTATTCTCTCACAACAACTTCCAAAAGTAAGAAACAGACTATTTCTTCTTGTGTCTCTTTATAAGGAGCAATTAAACTTTTCCTACTCCCTCCCTCACACGTTGGAAGAAACATGGGATCACATGGGTTCAGACAAGCCAGGATCCAACCTTTGTGGAGTGGTCTTGACACATGGGAAGAAAACGAGCAAAATTGGGAGAAAAACGGTAGAATATAAAGTTCCACTGGTTGTGTCCCCTGCAAGGACATCAAGTTAACAACTACCTACACATGAAAAAAACAAAAACAAACAAAAAAAAACCTTCATAAGAACCAAAAGTCAGATGAGCACTCATAGCACCTGGTTTTAACTTTGTGTCCCTGAAAGAGGCACTGAAGAGATAGGAAGAACAGTCCTGAATTGCCGATATGATAGAATACCAGGTAGAGATCTAAGGTTTTTTACTGTAGTGCCTGAATCCCAGATGGTACTTCCGGACACCCCTGCCATTTGGGAGACCTTGCTATCTTGAACAAAGGACAGAGGACTGGCTGGCTTTCCTAGCTGCTGATTGTACAGCCCCAGGGCCTTGAGTGAATATAGGCAGTAGCCAGGGAGTGGTTGCAGCAGGCCTTAGGCAAGATTTGGCTGACAGACAAAATAGCCAGTATAGAAAAGTACATAACTGACCTGATCGAGCTGAAAAGCACCCTATAAGATTTTCATAATGCAATAACAAGTATTAATAGTAGAGTAGACCAAGCTGAGGAAAGAACCTCAGAGGTTGAAGACTGGCTCTCTGAAATAAGATGATCAGACAAGAATAGAGAAAAAAAATGAAAAGAAATAAGCCTAACCTTCGAGAAATGTGGGATTATGTAGAGACAGAATCTACTACTCATTGGTATCCCTGAAAGAGATGGGAAGAATGGAACTAATGTGGGAAATATATTTCAGGATATCATCCATGAGAAGTTTCCCAACCTAGCTAGAGAGGCCAACATTCAAATTCAGGAAATACTGAGAATCCCAGTAAGATACTTTACAAGATCATCCCTAAGACACATAGTCATCAGATTCTTCAAAGTTGAAATGAAAGAAAAAAATGTTAAAGACAGCTAGAGAGAAAGGTCAGGTCACCTACAAAGGGTGGCCCATCAGACTAACAGTGGACCTTTCAGCAGAAACACTACAAGCCAGAAGAGGATGGGGGCCAAAATTCAGCATCTTTAAATAAAAGAAATTCCAGGCTGGGCGTGGTGGCTCAAGCCTGTAATCCCAGCACTTAGGGAGGCCGAAGTGGGTAGATCATGAGGTCAAGAGATCGAGACCATCCTGGCCAGTGTGGTGAAACCCTGTCTCTATTAAAAATACAAAAATTAGCTGGGTGTGGTGGTGCATGTCTGTAGTCCCAGCTACTCAGGAGGCTGAGGCAGGAGAATCTCTTGAACCCGGGAGGCGGAGGTTGCAGTGAGTTGAGATGGTACCACTGCACTCCAGTCTGGTTGACAGAGTGAGACTCCATCTCAGAAAAAAAAAAAGAAAAAAGAAAAAAAAAGAAATTTCAACTCAGGATTTCATACCTAGCCAAACTAAACTTCCTAAGCAGAGGAGAAATAAGATCCTTTTCAGACACGTAAATGCCAAGGGAATTTATTACTACCAGACCTCCCTTACTAGAGCTTCTGAAGGAAGCACTGGTTATGGAAAGGAAAGACTGTTACCAACCACTACAAAACACACTGAAGTACACAGACCAGTGACACTATAAAGCAACCACATAATCAAGTCTGCAAAATAACCAACTAACATCAGAATGACAGGATCAAATTCACTCATATCAATACTAACCTTGAATGTAAGTGGATTAAATGCCCCCAATTAAAAGGCACAGAGAGGCAAGCTGGATAAAAATGTAAGATCCATTGGTATGCTGTCTTCAAAAGACCCATCTCACATGATGTAACACCCATAGACTGTAAATAAAGGGATGGATAAAAATCAGCCAAGCAAATGGAAAATGGAAAAAAAGACAGGGGTTGCAACCATACTTTCAGACCAAAAAAAAAGACTTCAAACCAACAAATATAAAACAGACAAAGAATGTTGACGTGGGTGGATCACTTGAGGTCAGGAGTTCAAGACCAGCCTGGTGAACATGGTAAAATTCCATCTCCACAAAAAATACAAAAATTAGCTGGGTGTTGTGCTGTGTACCTGTAATCCCAGCTACTCAGGAAACTGAGACAAGAGAATCACTTGAACTCAGGAGGTGGAAGTTGCAGTGAGCCAAGATTGCACCACTGCACTCCAGATTGGGTGTCAGAATGAGACTCCATTTCAAAAAAAAGGGAGGGCATTACGTAATGGCCAAGTGTTCAATTCATCAAGAAGATGTAACTGTCCTAAATATATATTCACGTATATTAGTCCATTATGCTGCTGATAAAGACATACTTGAGACTGGGCAGTTTACAAGAGAAAGAGGTTTAATGGACTTGCAGTTCCGTGTGGCTGGGGAGGCCTCACAATCATGGTGGTAGAAGGTGAAAAGCACATCTCACATGGCAGCAGACAAGAGAAGAGGATTTGTGCAGGGAAACTCCCCTTCATAAAACCATCAAATCTCATGAGACTTATTCACTATCACAAGAATAGCACAGGAAAGACCTACCCCATGATTTAATTACCTCCCACTAGGTCCCTCCCACAACACATGGGTACTATAGGAGCTACAATTCAAGGTGAGATTTGGGTGGGGACACAGCCAAACCATTTCGTTCCACCCCTGGCCCCTCCGAAATCTCATGTCCTCACATTTCAAAACCAATCATGCCTTCCCAAGAGTCCCCCAAAGTCTTATTTCAACATTAACTCGAAGTCAAGTCCCTTCTGCCTATGAGCCTGTAAAATCAAAAGCAAGTTAGTTACTTCTTAGATAACTAACTTGGATAAATATACCCATTCCAAATGGGAGAAATTGGCCAAAATGAAGGGGCTTAAAGGCCCCATGCAGCTCTGAAATCCAGCAGAGCACTCAAATCTTAAACTCCAAAAAAAGATCTCCTTTGACTCCATATATCATATCCAGGTCACACTGAAGCAAGAGGTGAGTTTCCCTGGTCTTGGGCAGCTCCACCTCTGTGGCTTTGCAGGATATAGCCTTCCTCCTGGCTGCTTTCATGGGCTGGCATGCAGTATTTGCAGCTTTTCCAGTGCATGATGTAAGCTGTCAGTGGATCCATCATTCTGAGGTCTGAAGGATGGTGTTCCTCTTCTCAAAAACTCCACTAGGCACTGCCCCAGTGGGAACTCTGTGTGAGGGTGCCAGTTCCACATTTCCTTTTCCTTTCTGCACTGCCCTAGCAGAGGTTCTCCATGAGTGCCCTTCCCAGGCAGCAAACTTCTGCCTGGACATCCAGGTGTTTCCATACATCTTCTGAAATCTAGGTGGAGGTTCCCAAACCTCAATTCTTGACTTCTTTGTACCTGCAGGCTCAGCACCACATGGAAGCTGCCAAGGCTTAGGGCTTGCATCCTCTGAAGCTGTGGCCTAAGCTCTATGTTGGCCCCTTTTAGTCACAGCTGGAGTGGCTGACCCACAGAGCACCAAGTCCAAAGACTGCATACAGCACGGGGACACTGGGCCCAGCCAAAGAAACCATTTTTTTCCTCCTTGGCCTCCAGACCTGGCAGGGCTGCCATCAAGACCTCTGACATGCCTTGGAGACATTTTCCCTATTGTCTCGATGATTAACATTCAGCTCCTCGTTACCCAGGCAAATTTCTGCAGCCAGCTTGAATTTATCCTCAGAA